ACTTTCTTGGTAACATCATTTCCTAAGAAGAAGAAGAAGAAGAAGAAGAAGAAAGTCTTTCTTCGTACGTGTCGAGAAGAGAATACTTCTCAAGATCCCTCTTTCGTTCTCTCAAAGATAGGGTATATCACTCATTGCGATATGTACGAAAACAAGAGACCTAGAGAAGGTAAAGTTATCTAGCAACGCGTTGCATCTCTATCTTCGTTGCGTCACTCGAGAGCCCGCGCTCGAGAAACCCACTGGCAGCATGCACGTGTGAAAAATTTCCCTTCTCGCTCCAACGATTCGTTTCTTTATCTTTACCCCGTTCACATCTAAATAAACTCTATGGTATTTCAAATTAAAGACAATGATAATAACGATATCAAGAGGATGGAGAAGATTGTTCGACGACGACCTAAAAAGATAGGTTTTAAGAGTAAATAGATATTTTTCTTACTCACCATGCAGGAGAAGTTCTCAAAGGCTTAGCGCCCGTGTACGATGAAGAGGATGAATGACGAAACGTCGAAGAAAAATCCACAAGGTCCTGCGAGAGGATTCTTCCTTCTCTCGGATGAGAATCTCGTAGTTAATCTTCGGTATGAAGTAAGGAAACTCCACGGACAGAAGAAAGTAAATAGAAAGAAAGAAAGGAGAAGAGAAAAAAAAATATATATATCTTTGCCAAAAAAAAAACGTATGCACGGTGCGCGTATGTGCAACGTCGACGAGACAACTACGATGACAACAACGTCAATGAAAAAAGATCAGAATATCACACGCGACGACTCTTACTATGTGATCGGATAAAAAATATGGGGTTCACTCGATATTTGAAAGAAAAAAAAAAATAAGCAAACTATTATAGCCGAAGAAAATGAAGAAGGGAGATAATTATAAGAAAGATAGAAACCGCGAAACGTAAGGATAGAGAGAGAAAACGCACAGGCAGTGCGGAAAAACGAAGAAACAACCGTACGGCACGCGGGTTCACCGGCCGACTGAAAGGATGCAGTCGCCATGCTCCGCTCACGGACCCCTGTGGCCCCTCGTGGTCCATGCCACCCCCCCACCACCGCCGCGCGCACCGCCGACAAGAGAGACAAAGCGGGTGCGCGCGCACCTACACATTTTTTCAAGCTCCCCTCTTTTCCTTTCCCACCAACACCACCGGCGAGCCTTCACCGTGCTCTCCTCGCCCTTAGGCTCGATTCACACAGCTCTCTCGGCCTCCTCCTCCTCCTCCTTCACCACCTCCTCCACTCCACCTTGTCGCTGAGCGAACGCGACAGAGAGAACGCGTTCTCCTATATCTTTTTCTCTCTTATTCACTTTTTCTCTTTCTTTCTTTCTTTCGTTCCTCCACCGAGAGCAGAGGACTCGTCATAGACCCTGTTTACATCCCGAGGAAGAAGGGAAAGAGGGACTGTTACCGGTCTGGCTGCTTACACACGTCGATGCGGGAAAAAGGACGGCCTATCCTATTGCGCCCATGGAATCGAACCAGGCGCATCGCGATTCGAAGGATGCGGATAATACCGATGACGCCCGAAGAAGATCGGAGAAGAGTTCTCTCCTTTCGTAGACTCTCTACCGAGAAAGGGTTCTCTCTCTCTCTCTCTCTCTCTCTCTCTCTCTCTCTCTCTCACTCTTTTTTCTTTCTCCTTTCAGTGAAGGCACCTTCGTTTTCGGCAAACAAGCAGCGATAATTCAATCTCGAATCCTGTCTGATGTGAAATAAAAAGAGATTTTTATAAACTCCACCGTTGACCACTCGGAACTCTAGCTTGAGCGATAAAACATTGAACGAGGACGGAGAATCTTCTTACCTATCGTGTTTTCGCATTTCCTTGTTATCGACCGGTCCCGACGACGAGGACGAGGACGAGGATGACGCGTTGAAACGATCGATACCTGTATTCTCCACTCCGCACGGAAAAGCATGAAAAATAGTTTTTAATTGCTCGAAGAAATGGTATACCAAGCTGAAGGTTATACTACTGTTATAAATAAATGAAAAGGCCAACATAAAAGATGCAGTTTGTATCGTTTGTTATTCTATCCTCTTGACCAAAAGCAGTGTAATCATTTAATTGTTCATTGTTAGCTCCCCATGTTACGTACGTTCAAGGGAGCCCTTTTCGTTGCAAAGAAGTAATTACCCCGTTTACTGATAGCGATGCACCGGATATCATAGATGATCATGAAGATAGGTGAACGCGTTTTAAAGGGTCTGTGAACAAGAGCTCTCTCTCTCTCTCTCTCTCTTTTCAACTATCGAAGCATTGTCGTAGAACGTTCAATAATCGGATAATATTCCAAGGAGCCTGCATTGTTTGTTTTAATTAAAAATGATTGGCACCCTACGATAAGCTGATTTATCAATATAAAAATAAAAGGAAATATTGTGTACACGTATGCATCGCTAGTCCCTATAGCAACACGACACATGTTAAACAGTGTGCACCATAGCTGTAAAGTTTAACTGCGTCAATGGTACGATCATGTTACATCCGCTAGAACTGGCGGTTCTAATCTCATTTTAAATAATAAATACTTTTACAAGGTAGAGACTAAATATAACTAAATATGTTTAACTAATTGTTAATATGTTACTTTGCTTTTTTTCATTTATTCCTTGAGATAACGGAATGAATAAAATTATTACTGTATATCTTCGTTTTTACAGTCTGTATTGAATAAATTAATATAATCATTAATAATTAAGATTTTTGAATATTCATATACAATTGTTTATAAATTTAGAAATATTTTCGATATTCTTTAAAATTTACTGACCTCTTCTCTTATCTTGAAATATCTTCAATGACATAAAACCGCCATCTACCTTCGAATGAAATAACTTGATAATTCGGAAGTTGTGAAAACGATGATGATTTCTACACATGGAATGAAAAAAATTAATTTAATTGTAATTATTAAAAAATATAACAAAAATAATACTTATAATTCTAATGACAATGCAATAATTATACAACTTATGTTAATAGGGTTAACAGTATTTGCATTATTTAGAATAATTAACAATCATTTTTATAATGCAAGTAATTTCGATTACTTTAATATCTCACTCTGTGTATAGATATTATTCATTATGAAAATTTGCATTATAATAATCAAATTGACATTTCGTGAAATATGAATGATAAACTTTACCTGCTACGATTGTTTTCAATCAACTTTCTTCAGTTAACTTTCAATTATTACACATTGTTTATATATTATAAAATGTACTTTTTTAATATCCATGATAAGGTGTCATGGCGGTTTGATATACCTGAATGCAAGTACAATATTTCCAAATAATTATATACAGAGTATTCTTCAAGGTAATAATAAATTCTAATTATTAATAAAATATTACCGTTATTATTTATCGATGTATTAAAAAAAAATAACTTTTTTACTTATTTCTGTATATAAATCTCAAATTTATTGTTAATTTGTAACAAACAAGAACAAGAAACAGTCACACCACAAACGAATAAAATCGGCGCCAAAAGTATCTGCTTCGTTATATATACTACGTGACTCAAATTGACAACAATATTAAGAATTTACTTTAGATATATTCCGTAAATAAATTTAATTTAAAAATTCATTTTATTCGAATTTTTAATCCAAAATATAAATCAACATATATATAATTTTGAAATAAATTTTTAATAATTTTTAAAAATATTCTTAATCTATTTTAAATAAGATCTACATTGTGTATCGTAGTATGTATGGATAAAATATAATAATTACAGAAATTTGTTTAAAAATAATACAGATTATTAGAAAAATAAATATTAATGTATTTTCCTATTCCAAATATTATATCAGAATGTAATGAATAATTAAAACTTACTAAAATGTTCAATTTTTTCCGACGACGAACCCCATCGTCATCTGGTGGTTACAAGTTGTAACTACTCACTTCTTCAGATTATTATGATTCATGCTCAATATGAACTAATATTGTGTATTTAACATCTCTATATAGATAAATTTATAACATTTCATTGTATATATATATATATACATTACATACAATTTTGCACAATTGCTCGGTGTCGTAACCGAATCTATAAAAAGTGTAAAAGAATATTATGTATATGTTATAAAAAATACTAGCTTTTATTAACTTTATACAAATATTACAATTGTTTTCTTTTTTTTAACAATGGTGAACAATATTATGTACTATGAAGATTATATTTTTTAATTTACTTTTGGTAAATTATATAAATATGTGATTATAACAAATGACAAAATCAAATTTAAATTGAATACTTTTTTTGCACAGATCTGCTATAAACATTTAAAAATTTATATTTCAGCTACCTTGCATTTTGTCATTGAATGAAGATTTATTGCATTATGTCAGTGATGATGTACTAGGAGGATCTTACAAATATTATAGTTTAATGTACGAGGGTGTTATTAAAATTCAATTAATATCACAGTAAGTAAATTAAATAAAACAGATTTTTAAATAATTTAAAAATAACTGAATGTAATTTTAATTATTGCAGAACTGGAGATGCAGATTTGTATGCATCACATACAACAACCAAACCAACTTATGAACCAGACCATTATAGTTTGCAATCTACAACTTGTGGAGAAGATATTATAGTTATACCAGATAGGTATATTAAATGTTATTTCTAAAATAAGCTAAAAGATTGATATAAGGAAAATATTAATTTTTTGTTTTCATCAATTCATTTTCAGCTTCAAAAGGCCTGTTAGCATAGGAGTGTATGGACATCCATCGCATGAACTAAGTAAATATACTTTATTAGTATATGAGGTTATAACAACGGATGAAGATACAACTTATGATCAGATAACAGAAAATATTTGCAGGGATAGTGATAGCAAAGTATGATTTGAAAAATGTTGCCCAAATTTATTATAACTATTTCTATATTAATCGAATTATTTTACAGAAGAAAAGTTCACCATTTTTAATTACTTTATTGAGATTTATTGGGGACGTATTATTTCAAATACTTCTTGAATGAGACATTGTTTACAACAGATCTCATTCTAGTATTATCAATTTTATAGCCAAATAAATACATTTAATCATGTTGGAATATGAAAATGAGATGTTATTAGAAATATTGCAGGAGGATGGCTTAGTAATTACAGCAAAGTAAGTGTTTCATAGATTGAAAAATATCATATTTTTTTTTTATATGTATTTATAAACGTTTTATTTTTATTTAGGGGTCTGGGGATAGAGACTGTATTTGTAAATATATTAAAAGTCTACTTAGATCCTGGAAATCTTGTTATTGTTTTGGGAACATTGGAAACCGATGAAAATTACTTCATAGATGAATTAAAAAGTTTAGGTACGAAAACTTTACCTCGTATTGTATCAGGTCAATGTTTATCTAATGAAAGGTATGCTATTATTAACCTAATTAATATTTATTCACTTTTCAAAGTATATTTCGTAAAAATATACTTTTAATGAATATTTTCATTAACAGAGAACAGATGTATCTGGAAGGTGGAGTATTATTTATACCAGGCAGAATTTTGGTCGTAGATTTATTAAAAAATAGAGTTCCATTGCATTTAGTTACTGGAATTCTTGTATATAAAGCTCATAACATTTTACGTTTGTATCAAGAAGCGTTTGCAGTGAGATTGTATAGACAAACAAATAAGGTGATATAAACAAATATAATATATATATAAATTATTTATTAATATTCATTATTTGTAATTTTATAATATTATTTCTATGCTTAATTTTCAAATTTTATTATAGACAGGTTTTATCAAAGCATTTTCTAATTCGGCATTATCTTTTACTTTTGGCTTTTCTAACGTGGAACGCGTAATGAAAACTCTTTTTATTAAAAAATTATATCTATGGCCTCGCTTTCATAAAATTGTCAATAACAGTTTGTCGAAACGTAAGGTAAATATATTAATTTTTTTAATAATAATTTTATGAATTAATCTATTATAAAATAAAAATGAAAAATATTTATTTTTTATATATTATAGCCTGAAGTTTTAGAATTTCACGTAAAAATTACAGTTAAAATGTTACACATACAAACCGCTTTATTAGATGCAATGAACTATGTGGTGAAAGAATTAAAACGTATTAATAAATATGTATGTATTAAATTTGAACTACTTTTCTTTAAAAACATCTCTTAAATTTAAAAACACATATATATTACACTTATATTATTTACAGTTAGATTTAGAAGAATTGACAGTTGAAAATGCAATAGCTAAGAAATTTCACAAACAACTCCAATCACAATTAGACCCTGTTTGGCATCAACTTAGTTCTACAAGTAAACAATTGCTATCTGACTTGAAAACATTACGAGGACTCCTCGTGTAAGTATATCTATAAAAAAAGACTGCTGAAACAGTTCTTATTTTGTATCAAATAAGTCTTTAATATTTTACCCTTTCGTTATATTATGTAATTATAGTTAATTGCATCTATAGGTCCTTAACATACAAAGATTGTGTATCATTTTATTCTACGTTAAAACATTTACGAACTATGGAATATGCTATGAAAAGTTCTGGGTGGTTAATGTTGGATGCAGTAGAGAATCTGTTTAAATTTGCAAAAGAAAGGGTTTATACAGACAAAAATGGTAACTATAATTTATTATTAAAATGCATGTTATTTCGATGCATTAGTATATCATATAAAATGTTAATACACTATCTATATGTAATAATAAAATTTATCGTCAGAATTAAAGCCAGAACCAAATCCAAAATGGATAGCATTAAGTGAAGTATTGCTTGAAATCCAACGAGATAAAAAAAAAGATGATGCCGATAATGATAGTCCAGAAAAAATTCTTATTTTAGTTCATGATAATCAAACATGTTATCAATTGAAAAATTATTTAACTATTGGAGCCAATGAATATTTACTTAATGAAGCACATAAAAAATTACGAAATGATAATCTTCCCAAATCAAAGTATGCTATTAGCAATCATTTTTATATAAATAATATTGATTTTAATTTATATATGTATATATATAATCTTTATGTTTATGATTATTGTATATAATATTGTATTTTTAAAGTAATATTGCCAACAATGACGAAAAATCAATCACAACTGAATCTGAAAATGATGAAGAGATAATGCATACGCAAGATAGTTATGTCTTAACATTATCGCAAAAAGCTGCTATAGAAAGTCAATCTATTGCTCTAGTAAATGAAGATGAAGATGAGCATCATCAAACTTTATTTGAAGAATGTTCTCAAGTATGTTAAATAATATGTATGTTAATAAATGAAAGAAAATATATAATATACGTAATATGTTACTTCATACAATGTATAACTTTGCAGATGAATGAATTAGATCTAACAGCAATTGCAACAACTGCACCTATACTCATTGTACAATCTTTAAAGAAAGACGGTGATCCAATGGCATTACAACGTACATTAAAAGAATCTAAGCCTAGCAATGTAATAATGTATGTCGCTGACATTACAGTCATACGTCAACTGGAAGTATGTATATAATTTATAATTATTATTATCGCGTGATTTCTATTATATAGTTTTCTTTTTATAGATATATCAAAATAATAATCCTTCAATAAATTTGAAAGTATATTTTTTAATTTATGGAGGATCTGTTGAAGAACAAGAATATTTAACGTCATTACGACGAGAGAAAGAAGCTTTCCATATTTTAATCAATAATAAGAAAGTAAGAATTTCATTAATTAAATTATTTCGATCTTAAGATATATATTTGGTATATTTATTCATATGTATGTATTTTTGTAGACAATGGTTGTACCTGAAGATCAAGATGGAAAATCAGAAGATTGCTTAATATTTGCTACACAGTCGGATAAAGAAACAATACCGAATTCGCGCCAGGGAGATCAAGAAAAAAATCAGAAAACTTTTGTTAATAAAGTCATAGTTGATATGAGAGAATTCCAAAGCGAATTGCCATCCATTTTACATTCTCGTGGTATAAAAATTGAGCCTGTAACTTTAACTGTAAGTTAATAATGTAATATGTCAGCTTTAAAATTATATATTTATTTTATACATATTTTATAACATATATATTATTATTATATATATTATTTATGTATTAGATTGGAGATTATATTCTATCTCCAGAAATTTGCATCGAAAGAAAAAGTGTATCTGATTTAATTGGATCCCTTAACTCTGGAAGATTATACAATCAAGCTGTTGCTATGTCTAGGTATTATCCTAAACCAATGCTTCTTATCGAATTTGATCAGAATAAACCATTCTGTTTCCAGGTAATTAGTATATTAAAATGTTTTATTTTCGATATTTTTTACATGAATTATTGGGTTGACAAGTATGAAATTTATTGTGAGTTATGTTATCAACTTTATTTTTCTACAAATTTTATACTTGACAATCCCAAATTTTATATGAAAAAAGATATCAAAGATTTCTTTACTTTAAGGGTTGCTATTATATGGGCAAAGATGTTAACAGTTATGCAGTTACATCCAAATTGCAATTGTTGACTTTACATTTTCCTAAACTAAAACTCGTGTGGTCACAAAGTCCTCATGCATCTGCACAGTTGTTTGAAGAACTGAAGGTAACATATTAAATGATTTTAAATAAAATCAATGTTTAGTAATACAATTATTTTTATATAGAGTGGTAGAGATCAACCAAATGCTGAAAAGGCAGTTACGATTGGAGTAGATGAAAATGCAGAAGATAGCCAACTGATGTTTCAAAAATATAATCCTCACATACAAGATTTCATTGCTAAATTACCTGGCGTAAGTTCTAAGAATTTATGCGCTATTTTAAACAAAGGAAAATCACTCGATCATCTTATTAAACTCACAGAGGTAAAGTAAACTAATCTATTACCTGAATTCTACTGCTTTTTCATTAATATTTCGTAGAAGATTAATAAAAAGAACTATTTATTATTCAATGTATAGGATGAATTAGCTGAAATAGTTGGGAACAAAAGTGATGCACAAATGTTATACAACTCAATTCATAAAAAATGTGATATGAATGAAGAAACAAATGCAAAAGGTGTGGGCATTAAAAAAGTTCCAAAAGGATTCGGTAAAAAACTTTTTTCTAAAATAAAACAATAATATGATAAATTCTATTTTTCTTAAAGGTCATTATTTTGTATAATTTGGAATGTTAATCAATGATGTATATTCTTTAAATTTTTTAAATTATATAAAAAAAAAATATGGTTATTCTAAATAAAAAATAAGTATGCGATTTGAATAAAATATTAAATAAATGGAATGTTTTTTAGTAAATATTGAATTTGTTGTTAAATCTATTCACAGTCTACCGCATTTGTAGATTGTAAAGAATGAAGTATAGATTTCTTTAATATTTCTTCAATAAGAGACAAAGATGAGTCTATGATTGTCTTATCATCTTGTTTCTCTGTTTTCAACAGCCTAAGAACAAAAACGAATAATTAATAATTTATTCATATTTTTTCTTATTAAATAAATGTGCATACTTATTCATTTCTGCTCGGGTATATTTGGCAATAGTTGCCCTTGCAATATCATAAGCAGATTCTAATATTTTTGGTATCATTTCATAAGCATCCTTTAATGTACACTGTCCAAAACACTAAAAAGAAAATGTCAAAGTTATATTTTATATATTGTAATAGATCATTTTCTCTAAAATAAAATAAAACTTTTCTAGCTTTACCTCATTATGGATAGAATTTAAAGCATATGAAACAATGATTTTAGAAAGTTTTTCTATGAAAATCACTTTTTCTTCTTTACTCATTGTTTCGGGTCGAAAATCTGCTAATAATTCACGTAGTTTGGATTTGCAATTGACACTTAAATTTTTATCAAGTTCCTGATCTTTTTCAAAATGATTAACGCTTTTTTCTAACAAACAACAATATGGTCATTATTAAAAAGATTTATTAGGAGAAAAAGTTTGTATAGATTTTAAAAATTAAATTATATATTTCAAAACAACCTGATAGATAATCTGTTGGGAGACAGTATAGACTACTTAAATATCGTTCAGCAATAAGAAGAGATGCTGTATCACGAATATCTATTTCATCAATAATATTATCAAGCCATAAAGAAATATCTGAATAAGTATTGTATGGATATTGATAGATTATATTATTTTCTCCAACATTTATCCATGGTTGGCATTCCTGAAAAAATAGATATGCAAAAAAAAATGTGTGTCGATTAATAATCATAAAATATTTAATAAAATATATAACCATAAGATATCACACAGCGATGCTAACAAGAAATATATCTGTTTCCGGTTCCATTTTTGGTTTATGATCGAAAATATATTCACCACATTGAGATACAATAACTTGTTTTATAGGAGATTCATAATAAGTTGGAATATCCTCTATTCTTTTTAATGTCTGAATACCATCTACTAATTGTCTTTTTTATTTAATATCATAATTAAATATTTTATTTAAATTGGTTCTTCAATGAAACAATAGTTATTATTATATAATCAAGATTTTTTTTTTTTTTTTTTTTTTTTTTTTTTT